AATGTCCTTATTTTAAATTAAGAGCAAAAGTGCTTCAGATTGCTATATAGCTGCCAATTAAAATATATTCAAATTATCATCATCTTCACATTTTATAGGCCAGTGACTACTTCTCAACGGCTTTAAAGTTTGATCCAGAAAATGAATGTGCTACCATGAATCGAGCTATTGCCAATACAATATTAGAGAAATACAAAGAAGCAAAAGAAGATTTTGCATATGTGGTTGAAAGCTGTCCCTTCTGGGCTGCAGTATATTTTAACAGAGCACACTTACACTGTTGTTTAAAGCAATATGAACTAGCTGAGGAAGACCTAAGTAAAGGTATTTTTGTTTTATAACTTTGGGGTAAAATCACAGTGGTTGATATGTTTGTTTTTAGACAATAAAAAGAAGAAAATCATCAGGTCTATCTGTCTAGGTAAGCTTACATAAGAATTAATGTTTTTATATAGCGTATCTTTAATGCCATCAGTATAGATTCCTTCATGGAATAATTTAAAGCGTGGATAAGCTGAGATACAGAAAATCATTAGGGAAACCAGACATAAACAATGCCAGCCTTTCAGGGAGAGACATTGTACTGTGTTCCTCAAGTTAGTTTTCTTAGATTTAATCTTTTTAATTTTACCAAATACTACTTGCATTTGAAGAAAAATGCTTCCAAATAAGCAATGCTAAAGTTCTTATACAATTTTTATTTTTAAAACATGAGACCATTTTCCAGGGTTATCATAAAACGTATCTTGAAATGTTTTTCTTTTACAGCTCTGTCTTTGAAGCCTGATGATCCCCTAGTATATAAGCTTAGAGCAGACGTTCGTGGTAAAATAGGTCTGACTGAGGAAGCTGTGGCTGACTATATTCAAGCGCTCAACCTTCAAGAATATGCCTCAGTGATATGATTGCAGAGACTATGGTTTCTGCAGCAATCTACACAGCTCTTCTTCCCGAAATTGAAACTTATTTGTTGTTTAAAAGGTTGCGCTATCTCCATTATTGCATTCATTATGTTTTGTTATCTATATAACCCTTCAATTCATTTTAACAATATATTTATATTATATATTAATTACAAAGCATCTAGATCATTTTCTGCATATCTGAGAAAGCTAATAATAACAATTTCTTCATAGGGTGCAGCATTTAAATGGGGCTGTTTTTAAAGGAATATTAACATTCAAAATATTTTCTTTAAGGTAAATTAATTCCTTTTGAAATAATATAATCTTCATGATTATAGCAAAAGTGTCATTGACCTTTTCATCAATACGTACTCATAATGTATTAACAGTATCCAGGTTTAAAAAAATAAATACAGAGCTGATGGCTATAAAGAAATTAAGTACATTTCTTCTCTCTTCCTATAAACAATGTCTACACAGACCCGTATTCTTCCTGGTACTTATACTATTCCACCAGATGAACACGTTTCTCTTTTACATGTTTCCTCCCTTCCAGCACAGTATCTATAAAAATTTTGACCTTCCCGTTTCCTTGATGTAGTTCTTTTTGACTCTTTGAAGAAAGTTTCATAAACATATATAATAACTTTGTATACACTTATAATTAATTCTTCAAAGAAATTAATGAGTAAAAATTAAAGACAGCTAAAAATTCTTTTTTTTTCAAGATTTATTTATTTATTTATTTATTTGA